AGCTGATAAACATACGCTACCAAACGGCTGGTGACCTTCCCGGCGGAGTTGAAAGCAGTGGCGCCTCCGGGGCCGTGTTGGCGTCGCCGTCTTTCGCAACAGTGGTGGCTTCGGCGGGATCGGTCCGCCGTTTCTCAACAGTACTATGTATCAATTTTTTGTTTTTGTTGTTTCTCTATTACTATTGTATGTGACACTGTATTCCTTCTTCAATGATACTGAATGGGATTGGCAGTATTGTAAAATAAATAAATAAGGAAATAAATAATTAATTCAAATCCACGAGCATTTGCGATGGTAAATTCAAACGTACTGCACTTCGAAAATGATCTCAGCACCACGCCCAATTGCGCGGCGGCACCTCCAACATCTCAACGCTGTGCGCGAACAAAACGAAAAGGAAAGAAAAGGCTGCGGTAAAATGTTTGCTCTTTCTCAAATGAGGATCTGCGACGTGCCTGTGCCTCGCTTCTCTCTTTTCCATCCCTGCCACGTAAAGACCATTTCTTTCAACGCTGGGTGCGAAGAGAGAGAGGGAACGAAAAAAAGAAAGCTGTTGCGGAGTGTTGGCTCTCTCTCACGGGCCGGTGCCACGCTTCCCCTTTTCTCGTCCTTCCTCTTTTAACGATGTGCACGAAGAGAAAAAAAAAAATGGCCACATATCCATGGGGTGAATGTTGGAGAGTGGAGCGAAGCATCTGTCTGTCCATTCGTTCTTGCTTCCGTACGTCCATGCGTCCGTCTGTGTGACCGTCCGTGCGTCCATCCGCCCGTCCGTCCCTGCGTTCTTCCATGCATCTGCCCTTGCGTTCATCCATGCGTCCGTTCGTCCGTGCAGCCATCCGTGCGTCTGTCCATGCATCTGTCTGTGTGTCCGTTCGTCCATCTAGTCAATACTCCAAGTACCACCATCTCGCATCTTTTCATCATATATTCCGCATTTAGAAGCTCCGCCATCCAGTGGACATTCCAAGGACTAAACGAGAGGTGGTACACGCACACTTTCTTACGGCTTGCGCTTCGTGTCTACTTCCCACGTTTAACCACCTCAAGTTCATGGTATATACTAGTTCACTGTATTCATGGCACTGCGGCCCAACGCTCGCTAAACCTTTCTAAAACCAAGTAGGTTACGTCCAGCGAGTATAACGTAGCAACCCTTTCTTGTCAGATTGTGCTCAATGTACATGTTAATGCCTGCTAATGGGGAATGAGAGACAGGAAAATTTGGCTTTTAGTTAATGCGCACGCTGTGAATTTTTTATTGTTCAACAACATACAGAAGAAATTTCCCACCGGCACCACCTTGCAGGTCATAGCGTAAGACATGTTACGTGCTACGATGAGGGACGAACGGGTGCCGCGTTAAGGAGCTTCGCCCCTAAAAAAAATGCTGCCGTGGAGTGTTGGTTTCTTCTCAAATGTCATCCTGCTTCTCTTCATGTGGAGATGCTCCTCCTTTTTCTTGTCATGTGCTGGCCATGCTGCGGCTGCGTAGCCGAGACGCAGTCATCGTTGTTGTCGTTGTCTTTAGAAAGTGCCGCGCGCAACTTTTTTTTGCCAGGTGAATGCTGAAGCCAAAGTAGAAATGCTTTGCAAGCTGCGTGCGAAATTGACTCGCTGAAAGGCAAACGTGTGCAGACGTGTGCACTGATTACTTCAATTAATGATGGATGTCCAGTGATTTGTTACTAAATGTAAGTCTTCCGAAACTTCCCCCTCATGTATTAGCTCAATGCACTTGCGCCACTGCTTGGTGAGTGCTCCATTCATGTAGCTTTCATTAATTCAAACTTCTTTTAATTCCAACAAATTTTTGGCCTCTTCAAGTTCGAATTATTAAGATTGGACTGTACCATGTTTTACAATGATTGCTACACCCCCACCTCTAGACTTTCGATCTCTCTGGAATAGCTGGTAGCCTGGTGTGAGAATTTCGTCGTCGCAAACAAAAGCTTGCAAACATGTCTCTGTTATAATGCAGAAATGAGGATCACGCAACAGAAACAACTTTTCCAACTCATCTACTTTATTAACAATGCTTCTTGCATTAAAACTGAGCAAATGAACCTGATGGGGCGCTGACTGCTATCTGCGAGATGGCAGTATTTTTGGTCTTGCTATCAGTTTGCGGGAGTTAGATGTGTCGTCCCGCTCGTACATCTCATTGGCAATGCAGATCCTATCATGCACGAGTCACACCGTCTTGCCCTTTGCTTTATCTTCCCTCGCACTCTTTCAGAGCAGCTTTGTCTTTCGCAACGTGTCTGTGCAGTAATTATTTTAAAATGTCATCTCAGTAATGAAAGCATGCTTCTGGTTGGAGTAGCCTCAATTTGGTTTTAATACGCGCAGCTTTCATTAGTGGGGCCATCGCTGGTGGCTTTTGTCGGAAGGCCCACTGTAAAATGGCTTCTCCATGTTACACGTATGCCCCTCACTTTCTGCTATCAGTAGGTTATGGTTAAAAACAAAAAATAAACATTGCGGCATTGCATCATTGCTTCGTTTTTTTTTTTTAGGAGTCGGGGTAGAGAATGCTGCTTCGCTCGAAGGGTGCAGTTGCTGTCATGCGCTATATATCAAGGCATAATGAGACTACTCGTGAACTCTCTGTGCAGGTAATCTCTGCTTCGCGTTTAGATAACCGACAGCACGAAAACCGCTTCTGCAACTGGAATGGTCGTTGTCCCCTTTAGCCAGCGTTCTGTTGAGTTAGGTAACACCAAGTTCAAAAAATACGTTTTGTTCGTTTCACTTAAGCTCGTAGCAGTGAATGCGATACCAATAACATGTATTGTTATACCAAATAGTAAGGCTCGATGTCATCTGCGAGGAGCACTAGCGGCGGTGTTGCTATTTTGGAGGTCTGTAATCGCCGCAAGCTCAGTAAACTTGCTGCTTGTGCGCTGTTCGATACCCGTACAACGATTTGGATCACTAGAAACTCCCGGAACACCTCTTGCACGCCGATGCACATACAGATGAAATGAGGCTTGTCGAGAGCTTCCAGCTGACTGTTCTAGCTGCCGCTTGTTTTTTTTTTTCCAGAAATATGTGAAGAGAGACGCTGTAATAATAGGAAACCTGGTCATACTGCGTGTTAAGTCCTTGTGCTATATTGTAAGCTTGAACGGATGCTATTAGCTCTAAGATAGAAGCTGCGGCCAACAAGTGTCGACAGGCACGCCCTCCGCTGCTCTAGATAAATGTGATTCTGTGAACGGCGAACGGCACCTACGAATCCACCTCCAAAATAGCGACACTATAGTTTGGCCGCCTTGCGATCACGGCTCAGAGCACACTCCTATATGGGCGCTCCAAAAAGCGAAGCACTTTTGCCCAGTCAGTTTGTGTTGAGAGTACAAGGTAGAAGGGTAGAATAGTGACTGCGCAGCGATCAGATCCGTTCCTATAACAACGCCCCCCCCTCTCCTTGCCGTCATTGTAAGTTCCTGCTCCTTGAAGTCGGGTGATGCATTCCTCTCTACTTGAGTAACAATCGATAGCAGGCCTGACAAGTGGGTGATGTTATTGCATCTGACGTATGTGGAAAGGAGATAGGTTGGCTCTATTTATTTCTGCTATAGCTTCATTTGTCACCCCTGCTCGTGCGCCTTTACCCGCGTGTAAAACACAATGCGCGGGAGGATGTTATCAATTTCAACAGTACACAAAACTTGGCGGTGAGGGGACAGTAGCATAGCCAGGGGGATGGGGGGGTGCACATCGAAAATGCCCCCCCCCCCCCTCAATTTTTTCGCCCTAGCATATATTGCGCAAAATGCCCCCCCCCCCCCATTCAAATCAAGATGCCCCCCCCCCCCCCCGCCCTGAAAAATGGCAACGTAAAAAACCAGTCGAGAATGTCTGTATAATTACTATTACAATAAAAACAAAATGGCTCTCGCATTCGAGTTGTCTTAGGCAAATGCATAAGGTACCTCATGAGCTTTTTTTTTTCTTTTTTGCATTGCCTTCTAGAGGACACTACAGGGGGTTTTTGTTGTATACACAAAACGCTTTAGCCACATAAAACACTGCTGCAAAAGGAAAACTAAGTTTTTTAAATCGCTTAGGTTTAGCACAAAGAGATTACTACCAGAACAGGTTGGCTTTATGAGACTAGCTAAGTGAAATCATGTTACGCGCAGTGGTATAATTGGTTGTAAAGAAAAAGGACTTTTTCTTTTATACTTGAATTCATGTTGGAGAATTGTTGGGACTGTGTGAGTCTCCAGCGTTGTACGTCATAGCAGCACCAAATCTCCTAATAACCACATGGGTGTATTGGAACGTTATTTTATGAAGTACTATTTTGTTCAACTAGTATTCTGTTTATTTGCTATGAAAGTTATCATTTAACAAGTTTTTGCAGAATGCTCAAAAGCATAATACCATTATTTTTGTATCATCAAGTGAAATAGCCAGACACCTCATTTTAAAATGTCTCACTCCAATAGGTTTGGAATGGATTGAAATATTTCTAGGTCTTCACAAGAGCTCCAAAATAATTATTCATCTCCTTGAATGTAAATCCAACTTGCTTCTCCTTCGGGATGTGAAGTTAACAGTTCTGGAATACTCCAAAGCGGAAAGTTTTGCTGCTCTAAAGTGCTCCAGAAGGGAAATTTCGCTGCTCCAAAAGTTGCTCCAAATTAGCAGACCTTGTTAGCATCACTGCTAATTGGGCTGGAGCATCAGTGTTTTCACAGGACCAACTCGCCTTCTGACCAGCTTGCTTCTTTTTCAGATGACGTTGTACAATTTTCTTTTATTCGGTTTGCTTCTCAGACAACAAAAGGAATGATCATGTTTGTAAGTTCTTGTGTGTCAATTGTTGTCACGATGTAACACACAGTGCACATACTAGCAGCGAACGAAACACACACAGCACTCATGTTTCCTTGCTGTGTGTTTTATTATGCTTGACCAACATGCCCAAGTTTGCTCTATTGTTGCGGCAACTTCGTGTATAATGATTGCACTCTCTATTGCAGGATGTGATCTATGCCATCAGGGACTGTGCATTTGTCACTTCTGATTACCCTGTGATTCTTTCGTTTGAAAATCACTGCTGGTAAGTTTGCTGCCTTATGTAGCCATTGTACTCCCACGCAAAGCCATTTCGCTCGTGGAGATTTCATTTGTCAGTTTTTAGGCTGGAATTTACATGACACACAAAGAAAGATGAAATATACAAGCGCTGTATTTGGGATAACCTCCCTGTTGAAAATTTAAAGAGGGAAACAGCAAAAAAAAGTAGTCTTGTAAAAAAGAAATGAATGCAGTAAACAAAAACATTGAGTTGAAAGTTGGCGATCGCCACGTCATAATCCTGTAATATTTTTTCATGCATTCAACCCAAAATAGCTTTAAGTGACGTAATGCCATAAAGGCCCATGTACAATGGAGCTGAGAGGAAGCCTTAGTGAGGCAAAGATGGGCTTCGAGCTCTGAAGGAAGCACCAGTATGCTATGCTTTACTTTCTCTCCTGTCTTTTGTGCCAAGGCTAAATGACGTATATATATATTTACTTTGTCTAGCAAAAAGCAACAGTACAAACTTGCCAAGTACTGCCTGGAGATTTTTGGTGACCTACTGCTCACTGAACCACTGCCAAATTATCCGGTACGTTCACCTCTGGTTTTTTCTGTGGGATGCAGCTTAGTCACTTGACAGTTTCCTTGTATTTGCCAAGAAAAAGCACTTGCCCATAATATCGCAAGTTTTGTTTTAGTTTGTGAGTAATGCTCATCAGAAGGCAGTGCTCAACATTCTAACTTCATGCTTGTGATGCGTTTCAAAGACCACACAGAGGGTTCTTACCCTGCAGCGCAGAGCCCATCATAAGCACGAAGACATACCAACTAGCCCCCATTGTGGCCTTATTAGTTTTTTAACTCCACTTTAGCACCAGAATGAATGAAGCGTTGTGTAGAATAGGTTGCTACGTGTGAAAGAATAAGAAACAGAATGTTATTGCCTTTTAATGGACAACTTTCAACAGTCATTCATATTCCCAAATGCCAAGACCCCTGAAATAGGCCATGCGCGTAGCTTGTTTTGTCGTCCGCCAGATTGCAGTTTTCAGTGGAGACCTGTTGAGAAGTGAAAAATAGACTTGTGCATGAAAATGTTTATTTTTGTGACTGGATGACTACTGTTAAGGCAGTTTATTTATTTATTTTGTGTCCTAAAATTATTACAGTCCAACCCATTTATAACAAACCCAGATATAATGATTTATCAGTTATAACGACGATATTTCAGTGCACTTATGATTTTCCTAAGCTACTCTCTGAAACTGAGCCCACAATAGGAAACATTTTTCAAAGCCTCCTACTTTTACAACGAACACTCCTGATAGGGTCGCGGTAAAAATATAGCACATACGAAGCGAAAAAAAAAGTTTATACAGGCATTCTGAAGCACGTGATAGGTGCGCTCGCATGTGCACCGCTGCAGTTTACTTGCGAGGAACGTATCACAGAATGCGGCGAGCACCGCACGCAGATTTCGGGCATTGCGAGTGAGGCCGTTCACTTTCCAAATGTTTCTTCACTGGCAGAATGGAAGTGAGAGGGGAAAAATGAAAAGAAATAGGAGACAGCATGAAGAATTGCAGTCAGCTTTCACACGGCAAACTTTTCTGACTTCGTTCTCGGCATCTACGATGGTCGACGATAAACCAACAATGCCTTCGAACGCAAAAAGCCATAAATGCCAAAAGCGATAACTTTTGTCGCATGAAACTTCACTGCGATGCGCAACTGTCTGACACCACAATGTGCCAATTAAAGTTTTCCACCTTTTGGCAACAGAAAAACCAATCGATTAGTGATAACGACTTCTGCATGGATGCAGCGTTGCCTCAATGAATAAGCATAAAAAAGAGCAATAGCGAGGTGGCTGGTGGTGATGAACGTGCCACTTTCACTCACTGCCGGCGAGCTTATCAGAGTCATCTGCAGGTAACTGCTCGGCGGAGTGACGGTGGCACAGGCGCGTTATGGTGCTATTTGCATGTTCGTTGCCACTGCGTCGTGCGAGGCCGCTTGTGCACGTTGCTTGCAAAAAACGGACAGGCTACTCCACCGCATCCTAGTATGATTCAGAGGGAATCATGCGTGAAGAACGCACAAATGCATGCATACATTGAACTGCAAGCGAACTGTAATGTGACGGCAAGAGTAGCTAGAGTAAGTGACAAACTGCACGCAACTAGCCAGGGCCAATTGGTTTGTGGCAGTGCCGAGATTCAGTGGAACGGGGCGAGCTCATTGCGAACGGGAGCCGTTTAACATGCGAAAAGGCCTAACTTGTCAGGAGAAGGGTTGTTAACACTTTTTATTGTTCACACTGAAAAAAGAAACTGTTTGGCCACTATGTGGCCGTTTTTATAGGTGGCTCCATATACAATGAACTACTGATATAACGACTATTTATCACAGCACTTTCGAGTTGGTTATAAACATTTTCAACTGTATTTAGGGTAAAATATAGGCTTGTGTGAATAGTGAGCTTTAGGTTTGAGTGAATAGTGATTTCGGTTGAATAATATTGAACTGAATTCAAGTAGTATATATCACATATGGTGAAGAAAAGTAAGCATATTTGGCATGACCCTACTAATCTGCTCAATATTTCATGGCCTGTGCAAAAGCCATTCTTTTTGGTTCATAGGAAGTTGAAGCAACTTTGAATAGTAGCAGGGTTTTGACTTTCGTTAGAATCCTAAAGGTTATCTATAATGTATGGTGCATTTTAAAGTTTACCGCACTAAGGTTATGTTAGCCTGTGTAACAAGCCTTTAAAGTTAAAAAATAATGAATGGGTATGAGGTTAAGATGTTCATTTAACCTGGCAGTGGCGCTTTGTGGCAGTGCATAGCCGCAAAGATAGCTTCCCTTGGATAGCTGTTCTCACAGTTTAGCATAGCAGCTCCTTACTGCAGTGAAACTACCTTTACAGCGGGTTACATTCGAATATACATTCAAATAAGTGTTTACATGACTTAGCACCCCTCTACTGCAGAGAAACCACCTCTGCAGGGGATTACATGCAGACTAATAACATTCATTTGTTCATTTCGATTAGGTTGAAATTTTGAAACTATTAAATTATGAAAGTAATATTCATGTGGAATATCGGAGGCATTAGAATATCTGCGCAAGTATAGTAAAGATGTCTAATTGTAAAATAGCTTGTGGCTGAAGAAAGGACAGAAGATTTTTCACGAGTGCAAGTTGTCATGATGCTTGCAGTTGGAGCCAAGTGCACCTCTCCCATCTCCCAACGACCTCAAGAGGAAGATTCTCATCAAGAACAAGCGACTGAAGCCTGAGGACGAAAAGCGTGAGTGTGCTTTGTCTTTGAAAGGATGGTGATTGATGAAAGGAAATTTCTCGTTTCAAGAAAAACAAATCATTTATTGCGCTCCTGGGGTCAGATGAGACATAGGTACCATATTCACTCACATAAAGGCATACCCTCGCTTTGGTCGGGAAAAATCAGATTTTTTTATATTTATGCACATACAATCGAGCCCACATATAACGTCCCCACTTAAAACAAACTTTCGCTTAAAACAAACAATATTCGCTTGACCGTAAAAATATACATTGGTTCAATGGCACAAAATCGCACTTTTAATGCACGTCTCCGAGCGCCGCTGATCGGTTACAGCGAACAGAGTCGGCGCTCTGTCGACTTCTTGGGAAACCACTTTCAGGCATCGGCAAGGGGCTCATATATTCTTATTGTTAAACGCCGATCCTGCCTCCGTACCCCTCTGGTTGCCACTCTCCCTGACCGCTTTTGTTACGCACCCCTCCGTTCTTTGTACCCCGCCCCCCCCCCCGCTACTCTGAGCACCCCATATTGCCAGACGAGACCTGTGTTTTCACATTGCCACAAATCTTTCAAAGACCGCTCGGCTATCTACCCTCTCTTTGATCGCTGGTACTGTCGTTGGCGTCGCTGGCCTGGAGTGACCAGACCATTTGCCAACATCGTCGGCCATTGACTGTATCCGATCGTCTGCGTCTAGTGCACGCGTGTACACTACCCCACCGACTCTGATAATTTGCGATTCGTTTCGTGTTTAGGACCTGTTCTCACTCACTTCGCACTCTGCTCAGCATGCTCTCTGCACACGTGTGGAAGTGCCAAAACAGCTGTTAATTTGTGCGGAACGAATCGCGAAATATCAAAGTTGGTGGGGCCACGCAAACCCCCCGACGCAACAAAGCGATTTTTCGACCACGGCCGCCGATTCTTTGAACACCGCCGCACGCAGCGATCCGGGCGGGCGTGCTTTGACTTCTGCGCGTGCAGACACTCTTTCAAGTTTTTCTACGTGCGAGTTGCGCGTTTCGTGGACCTTTCAAGCAAGCTACCAAACCTGCCTCCTTCCCATGTGTTTTGGTTTTGCCCAACTCTTTTGCCCATCTCTAGTGCTGGCTTGAATTAGTTTCGTTTTCTGACTAGAAATGGGTCCAGAGCTGTTCCACGCGTTCTGGCATGTGTGTCACGTTTGCGCGTCTTGCTCGCTCTTGGTATGCTGTGTGGTCTGGGTAGCAGATGGGAGGATTTGCGTGTTATTTTTCTGCCGCTCAACAAAATGTCGAAAGTGTGACCGCTTGGCTTGAGCGTAATCCGCGCGTCAGGTGCCGCGTTGCGGAACGCTTGCTCGTAGCTGTTGACCACCTGACAGCCTACTTGCCACTTCGGGAATTTGGGTATTCAGCTGTGCAGATGGTGAATATTTCGTGGGCGGCGGTGACAGCTACATGCGCGCTAAACCGTTTTCGCGATGCCGACTTCGTCGAGGTCAGGCCCGATGCCGAGCCTGAAGCTTCTGAACAGGACCACAGTGGCGGCGATTTGTGGCAGTGTGTCGTCGACTCCGACCTGGGAGAGCGGGTGGGACATCTGTTGCGATTGTTTAATTACGGCCGATGATGAAGGCAACACTGTAGAACTGTGCACGGATTAGGGCATTGTGAATAAAGTACGTGGCGAGAGCGATTTGGAGGAATCGAATTGCGAGAACGATGAAACTTTGGAGCCAGTCTCTCATGCAGCTTATGCCACGGGCCTCGGCAAACAAGCACGCTGCTTTTTGAAATTAATTAGAGACCTCCCTTATCGCTTCTGCTCTTTGAAACACATGCATTACGAACTTTTTTGGACAAAATATGTTTGTGTTTTCACTTGCAACTTTTTTAAAAGCTGTGTTTCATTTACTACGAACTTTTGGATACAGCAAGCCGATGCCACGTCAGGCTCAGGTTCGTTATTAGTGGGCTCGACTGTAAAAGGCGCTCCTCGAACTTGGCCGTGATCAGTAGTTCTGTACAGGGTTTGCACAGTTGCAATTCAACACCTTCTTACTTACCTGGAGCGAGGAAAAAAAAGAAAAAGAACCATGGTAGCGCTGCATGGGCTTGCTAAGTGAGAAAGAAGGGTGGTTGCCTTGGCGTCGGAGTGACCTTTGCACCAGCGTTGGCATTGCTCCAGCTGCGTGCGCTCCACTTTGAACGTGCAATCGCGTACTCATCAAGCACACTTTTAGTTTCCAAAAGCATTCTTGTTATTGTGTTTGCTACTTCATCCGCACATTTAAAACCTTTTAAGCTTTTCAATGCGAGCTTCCGTCTTTTCTGCCGTTGCGCGGGCTTGCGCAAGCTTGGCAGACTTTTGTCGCCGCTGATTTACCGGCCACGAATCTAAGCATCGCATTATACACACTGCTCTTGGATTAGTGGTTGAGTACAATCTTTTAAGGGGGTAGACTGGTCTTTGGGACCGAATAGTGATGAAAAAATTCATTTTTTAAAATTGACATATTTGGTTTCTGCAAGTATTTTTCTATCTCTCTGCAAATTTTCATGCACCTGGAAGTAGTAATTTTTTTGTAATGTCATTCTAACTGTCCTGATTCTTGATGCTGTTAACATGCAGAACCTGCAAAAAATGGGGAACCGACTTGGAGGCTTCTTAATAATTTGCCAGCACCTGTGTATAAAGCTAGACTTCCCTAGCGAGGGAAGTCTAGCTGTACTATTCGAGGAGCTAGAGGGTGTTAAATGGGATATAATAGGGCTCAGTGAGGTTAGGAGGACAGATGATGCCTATACGGTGCTACAGATTGGGCACGTCCTTTGCTATCGGGGCTTGGCAGACAGAAGAGAACTGGGAGTGGGGTTCCTAATTCACAGAAACATAGCTGGCAACATAGAGGAATACTATAGCATTAATGAAAGGGTGGTAGGTATGGTAATTAAACTGAATAAAACATACAAGATGAAGGTAGTACAGGCTTACGTGCCTACATCCAGCCATGCTGACGCTTCAGTTGAAAGCTTCTATGAAGACGTGGAATCGGCAATGAGTAAAGTAAAAACACAGTATACTATAGTGATGGGCGACATTAATGCAAAGGTAGGGAAGAAGCAGGCTGGAGACCAGGCAGAAGGAGATTATGGCATCGGTACTAGAAATGCCAGAAGAGAGCTACTAGTAGAATTCGCAGAACGCAACAATTTACGGATTTTGACTACCTTGTACCGAAAACGAGAAAACCACAAGTGGACATGGAGGAGCCCTAATGGCGAAAATAAGAACGAAATAGACTTTATAATGAGTGCACACGCAGGAATCGTGCAGGATGTGGAAGTGTTTGGCAAGGTATGATGCAGTGACCATAGAATGGTATGGTCTCGAATTCGCCTAGACTTGAAGAAGGAACGACAGAAACTGATACGCAAGAAGCCAATCAATGAGCTAGCACTGAGAGGGAAAGTACAGGAATTCAGAGTCTCGCTTCAGAATAGGTACTCGACTTTTATTGAGGAAACCAGCCTTAGCGTTGAAGCTATAACTGATGATCTGACAAGTATCATTACGGAGTGTGCAGTGGAAGTTGGAGGTACGGTAGTTAGACAGGACACTGGCAGGCTGTCCCAGGAAGCGAAGAATCTCAATAAGAAGCATCAAAGCATGAGAGCAATAGACAAAATAGAGTTGGTAGAGCTTTCAAAGTTGATTATTAAGCATAAGGTATTCGACGTAAGAAGGTATAACATTGAGAGAATAGAACACGCTCTGAAGAACGGAGGAACCGTCAAAGCAGTGAAGAGGAAACTTGGGATAGGCAAAAATCGGATGTATGAACTAAGGGACAAAGAAGGCAAAATAAATACCAATATGGATAGGATAGTTAAAATAGCGGAGGAGTTTTACAGAGATCTGTACAATAGCCGAGATAACCATGACCTTAATATAAGAACTAGCAGTAACCTAGATGACACCCCACCAGTAATGATAGAAGACAGAAAAGCCTTGGAGAGCATGCAAAGAGGCAAAGCTGTTGGTGAAGATCAGGTAACATCAGATCTGCTGAAAGGTGGAGGCCAGATTGTGTTAGAAAAACTAGCCATCCTGTTTACGAGGTGTCTCCTGATGGGAAGTGTACCAGAATTTTGACAGAATGCTAACATCATCTTAATACATAATAAAGGAGATGACAAGGACTTGAAGAATTACAGGCCGATCAGCTTGCTCTCTGTCGTATACAAGCTGTTTACAAAAGTAATTGCTAACAGAGTTAAGATAACATTTGAATTTAATCAGTCAAAGGAATGAGCGAAATTTCGAACAGGCTACTCAATAATCAACCACATTCATACTATCAATCAGGTAATAGAAAAATGCCCAGAATACAGCCAGTCATTATACATAGCCTTCATAGATTACGAGAAGGTATTTGATTCAGTTGAAATATCAGATGTCATGCAGACACTGCAAAATCAGGGCATTGACAATGCATATATAAACATCCTTGAAGAAATCTACAGAGGATCAACTGCCACGATAGTGCTTCATAAAGAAAGTGACAGAATACCAATCAAGAAGGGTGTAAGGCAGGAGGATACAATCTCCCTAATGCTATTTACCGCATTCTTACAGGAAGTTTTCAGAGATCTAGAATGTGAAGAGTTAGGGATAAGAGGTATTGAAGAGTACCTAAAAATCTGGTTTTCGCTGATAACCTTGCATTGCTGAGTAACGCAAAGGACAAATTTAAACTTATGATTGCGGAGTTAGACAAGGAGACCGGAAAAGTAGGTCTTAAAATTAATCAAAATTATTCTGCAGTAAACGAAAGTAATGTACAATGATCTCGGAAAGGAACAGCGCTTTGAGATAGGTAATAGTGCACTAGAAGTTGTAAAAGACTATGTCTAAACAGGTAACTACCGTGGAGCGGAACCACGGAATGAAGTGAGTAGAAGAATAAGAATGGGGTGGAGCACATTTGTCAAGCACTCTAAAATCTCGACAAATAGATTGCCACTATCTCTCAAAAGGAAGTTATAGAACAGCTGCATCTTGTTGGTACTTAGCTACGGAGGAGAGACCTGAAGACTTACAAGGGAGGTTCAGCATAAATTGAGAAGGAAGCAGCAAGCGATGGAAAGGAAAGTGATTGTTGTAGCCTTAAGAGACAAAAAGAGAGCAGAGTGGATCAGGGAATAAACCGGGTTAAGGATATCATAGTTGAAATCAAGAACAAATGGACATGGGCTGGGCATGTAGCGCGTAGGCAAGATAACCGCTGGTCATTAAAGGAGCACTGACATCAAATTTACTCATGCCAAGATTTTTGTGTCAGCGAGTAGCTATAGAACTCATAGCAGCGATTTGCGACCTAGAATGCAACTGACGGTGAATAACTATAACTTTTATTAATTTATATCACTGGTATCTTGCACTATTCAATACGGCCGGCGATTCCACCATTGCGCTGGGAGCACCAGCAGTGGCGCTACTTTACAGTCACCTCCAAATCGTGCCACAGCTGACCACTTCTCAACAGAAAAGAGTGACGTCAGGCTCAGCTGCTCCGCAAACATTTTGTCTGCTAGGCGGACACATTCAGTCAAACCTTGTCACCTGCATTGCTGTCGTCGCGTTACAAAGGGTCGATTCCGGTTCAATACGATAGTCTGGAGCTTGCGATCCCTGCGATTCACGACGTCTCGAATTATTTTTGCTTCGATCGACCATTTGCAGAACAGTGATTCTGAAACGGACGCTTTTACAAGCAGTCCTGCAGAAGTGCCCGAGGACGCATGCTTCAGCCATGTTCGCTCGTGTGTCTCAGTTAGCTATAATGGTGTGCTTTGGCGTGCAAAGCATTCATGTATACGCAGAGGAGTCAATGCAATATAGCTATCGCAAATGAGCATCAGCGGAGAAATAAAATACGTTTCCTGCTTGCCAGGTTCTTTTTTGCACCTCCAGATGGCCCCAACTATCCAGCCTGTCACGGTTAACACGGTATTTCTACTTTTACGTGGACGTAGAGTCTACAGATGAACTAAATTTCAATGATACCTGCGTGTTACTTCTTAGCAATGATATCTGACTATACGCTGTTCCACTTTCGATAGCTTGTGGTCGTGTTGATGCATAACACATAAGGGATGTCACTCAGGAATCAGGATGGTATTTGTGGAATGTATCACACTGAACACGTCGCACTAGTGTCGATGTCGCAAGGCAGTCTATTTTCCGTTTTTTCTCCTTAGCTTTTCTACGCTGTTTGACATTGAATTAAGATAACTTCCATGCGACGAATGCCGTTCAAATTTGGCCAAGAAGACCTATACATACCAAGCGGTCGAATGATGGGCACATCTCGATCTTGAAATTTGATGTCAGTGCTCCTTTAAGGATAACTGACTGGATTCCCAGAGACTGCAAGCGGGTTAGGGGGAGACAGTTAGTTAGCTGGGCAGACGAGATTGGGAAGTTGGGCGGGTACAAAATCACAGCAGCAAGCACAGGGCCGAGTTGACTGGCGCCATCATGGGAGAGGCCTTTGTCCTGCAGTGAACATAGTCAGGCTGATGACGATGATGATGAACTTTCAGCATGTAGGCAGGGTAAAAACTGTATGCGAATGGTCTGAGAAAAAGTGCAAGATTTTCTTAGTCTGACAAATGCAACCAAGACTACCAATTTGCAATGTTTACAAAAACCTATTTAAATACTTTTCATGAGTATGAGCCTAAGTTGTGATTGTGCTTGTACACTTGTTTGAAATGATGTTCTGTTATAAATCCGTCTGCATAGAAGAATACTCATATATGAGCTTTGTATCGATGTTGTCCATGGGGAATTATTTGAAAAGTATTTTTCTGAAGTCAAGTATTTGTGTCGGGAAGAACTAAGAACAAGCAGAAAGTTGTAGGTATTCATCAGCTCTATTTTTTATTTCAGAGGCCAAAGATTATGTTTTTGTGGCACATGCTAGCGAAATTATGTGCCACCACATGTTTTCTAATGCAAGTTCTTCAGTCACATTGGGACAATCCTCTGTGTCTGGCTGGTGTCCTCTGCTTTCACTTAACTCCCTCTTTAACTCGCCTTTATTTATACTCTACGGAATAATCGCCCTCGCACGACAGGAGCCTAATAAAAAATACAGTAGAGAGAAATCTCTTAAACAAAACTGCTGCTATAATGGTTAGAAGGGCTTCTGAAAAGATTGGTCTCGCACTTGCACCCTTGTTCATCTTTCGGTTTGTTGAATTCCCCTTAAATGGCGCATACTTTTCCGGTCCTTTCAAGTTTTGTTTATTGATTAAAGTATTTATATCAGTGTTCTAATGATGATGTTGAGTTTATTCTGCAACAGGATTTTTAGAATGACAGGCTAAGAAGGTGCATTAAACAGCATGAGGGCAACCTGGCCACATCATAAACATTCAACAGTTTGTCAAAATCTGTTTGTGTTGCTCATGAGTTTCTATGGCCTGCCAACATGTCACTAACACCTTCTTCTTTCAAGCTTTCAAGTTTCAAGTTTATTATTTTCAAAAACAAGTTACAAAATCTAAGATATACAGACGAGGGTCCCAGAGCCAGAGACTTTAGTGGGACCCTTGGTTTGTCAATACAAAATGACGGTAAAATTTATACAAAGCAACGGAAAATTCTTACAATATACTGACACCAAAATACTCTTTTACATCACAAATCAAGCCAAAACACGCAACATAGTATAAAAAAAACCGAAGAACAAACAAGTCAAACAGGTAAACGATCACAAGTATGGTTATGTGAGAAAATGATTTTTGATGGACTTTTTGAACCAAGGAAATGAAGTACAGCGCTTAATGCTAGAAGGTAACGCATTCCAAAAGGATATCGCACTGAAAGCGGAAGTTTTTTGCCCATAATTAGTATGAACGGGGGTAACAGGAAATTTTTATTCTGTTTATGAGACGTCAAAGTAGTGCATAATATTTACTTCATTGCTCTTTGCATTGCGGAATCAGTCATTCATTCAAATTTAAAGTTTTCTTGGCTCTGCTATGTGGATCGACATGGGCACTGCCTGTTAGCTAAGATGGCCCAACATGTTCAAAGTTTAAAGGCCGGAAGACCAATAGCTGAGTGTTATGTCGACAGGTGCCTCTTAAACAGCTTGGCATCAGGTGCAAAGATAAAGATATGTATTGCCATGCGTGTTCAGTGACAGAACATGATGAAGGAAATAATTTATTTGAAGCCATATCACGTAAATTTATAGGTTGAAAAAACCAACTCGGGTATGCACAGGTGCGGTGGTATTGAATGAAAACCTAGTTCTGTGTTTGTTTGTGATCGTGAAGGTGCACCACGACAAACTCAGCCGAATCTGTGAATTGTTGCTGGTCTTTGCCTGTATGTGTGTTTTTCATTAAATCTGCTCTCAACCCTTAAGATATGTCGTACTAACAATGCCAGAAGTTGGCCTTTGCAGAAGGTGTATTACTATAAATTTTCAAAAAAAATGGCCAAAGGCCGAGTCTTATGTCTGATTCATAGTGTGGCTGTAATGTTGAGCAGCACTGGGTACCAGGGAAAAGTGAGAACCTTGAGGAATTCTCATAGCATCAGTGCCACAGCTGGTGCATGTTCCGGCAGAAAACTGTTCCTGAAATGTATAAGATGCTACTTGTTAGAAGTGTGCAGGCCTTAGCTACGATAATCACATGAGGTGACGACGGTGGTCTTACAGGTGAACTGGAGCTGTGGCGGAAAGGACAGCTGCAGAACGACGATGAGGAGGAAGAGAAAGAGGATGCCTCGGTCACCATCATTGCACCGACCGAGGAAGGCGAGGGAGGTGAGCTCTGGCTGCCGACATCTCGTGTGCATGGGCCGTGCCCATTTCATAATAGTGTTTGCAGTACTGTTGGTAAGGTTGAAGTGATTGCAGTACAGAGTTGACATGTAGGAGCTGGCTGCATCAAACAACTCCAAAAGCCAATGCTCTTTAGTGACATTATCGTCCAGTACATATTTCTTTTGTAAATTTGCATTAAGGCATTTTTTGAAAGCCCATGAAAAAAATAATGAATGAAAATGCAGTTCCGAGTTTTTTCAATTGTCTGTTCTTGAAAAGCCCAAACAAGTTTTGTATTCGGGGGCAGCCTAAATGTAAAGATGGGAATGGCAGTGGTGGTGAAGGGGCAGCTCTTTGCAGAGCCTTTGCGAAAAAACACTGCCAACATCTTTGTGCGGAAGGTAGACAACATTTCCGTGTATGCTGCCCATAAAAGGGCTGGTGGGCAATGGCAGAGTAATGTGCAAGTGAATCACGTGCTCTTTTGGTTTTGAGCGGTGTAGAGCAGTAGCGTGGTACGTACAATGCAATGTTGGCGTAACACTGCCGGCCGTCCACCACCATTAGTAAAAAAAATGTGGCATCTTATATCTTTATGTAGAGTTGATATTTTATATATTTTTTAATGTAACCCTGGAGAATTTGTCGGCAACTAAGAGCCTTTTCTTTCTGAGAAAATCTACGGATTTTCTTGCGGCTTTGTGCCACAAACGAGTAGTTGTCTTCTTTCCCTTCCTTAAGCCTTCCGCCACCTAGCAGGTTTCCTCAGAACTCATTCGCAAGTCTTAAGCGAATAAATTAGTCTTAATGCTACTGCAACTGAAAAGTCGTACCAAGCACTGTACTATAATTATTATGATTAATAAATTACCGGGATGTTGGCACATGGTTATTCAATTTTAAGCACCTCAGCAGTGGAATGAAATTGTGGATTCAGTCACATGTGATAATTTTATCTAGATGCCTATATAACAGGGAATAAAAATATAATGCTGATAATTGTGAAGAAAATCTTGATACGATAATGTTTCTATGCCTTCTTTACTTTATGTTTATACAAGTCTACAGTAAACATCTCCCATTAAGACAAACTCTGTTAAGACGATTTTATGCTTAAGACAAACGACACGGTAGTGTTTGTTTAGTTTCCCATAGACTCAATGCCAAAAAAATCCGCTCAAGACGAACCACATAACAGGTCTCTTCTGTTAAGACACACTCTCACAGTGGCTGACAAAAATGAGTTTTCTGCGCAACAAACATTAGTCTTGGTGGGGGCATTCAGGGAAACGAGAAGAAAATGAGAAACCCTCTGGTACAAAGACTCAAAGCAAATCGAAAGCAAATTGTGACGTGGAAGGAAAAATCGAGATAAGTGGAAAAGAAAGATTGGTGCTTTTAAAACTGGTACTTTCGTCACCTCATACCTGTAGGTGGAGAAAGGCCGGCTTTATCAGAAACTAAAGCAAGAAAAAGCGTTTGTCCTTTTGTATTTTCCTCGCATTCTTCAGTTTCCTAACTAGAGTACAATGGAGAACAGAAGAACACAAGAGCTTGGCTAGAGGGGAAATGCAACGGAAGGGGGACGCAAAAAGGCGGAATGGAAGTGAAAACAAAAAAAAGGCACAGCTTTGCCACAAAGGCCAAGCAATGAATGCGATAGCAACAAATTGAAATGTCATGCGACGAATGGCAAGCAGATCAAACTGTGCTCGCATTGCCCACGCACAAATGACGCACAAAACCTACTCACAGGTACAGATGAAGGTGAATAAGTGTCTCTGTTATTATTTCGCTGTGTCTGAAAAGTGTGCCGTTTTCGCAAACCGAGATTGTGCAGCGAGTGCAGTAACCTTTGTGCGCCCGGCAATCACAACAGAATCGCTCCGGTGAAAGCCCAAGGCATACGATTTTCCCACCGCGAGATAAGCACGGGCACGCATGAGCGTCTACCCCCCTTTCGCGAGGCAAAGTACGCGTGGGAGATCAACGCATGAGCGCGCGTCGATGCGTTGCGACGTTCTTGCGATTCGCGCTCATTGTGCCATCTTGCTGGTAATGCTGAAAACACGATAGTTCCCCCGAGATGGGCATTGCCAGCGGGAAGTGCTAGATATATATAGCTTGCCGTTTTAACATAGAAGGAGGTGCTTCTTTGTGGCTCAGTAGCTAACGCCACGCACTTCCAAGCAAGAGGTCGTCGGACATTCCATCCGTGTGCCAGAGTCTTTTTCTGGAATATTTTTCTTTCTCGCATTTTCACATATATTGATATATATAATATGGTGAATGATCGCCGTTGTCGACGTCGATGTCGAGGACGGCGGCAAAATCCAGCCGAGAGTGTTCATATATTTGCTGAAAACACGATAGTTCCCCCGAGATGGGCATTGCCAGCGGTAAGTGGTAGATATATATAGCTTGCCGTTTTAACATAGAAGGAGGTGCTTCTTTGTGGCTCAGTAGCTAACGCCACGCACTTCCAAGCAAGAGGCCGTCGGACATTCCATCCGTGTGCGTGCCAGAGCCTTTTTCTGGAATATTTTTCTTTCTCGTATTTTCACATATATTGATACATATAATATAGTGAATGATCGCCGTTGTCGACGTCGATGTCGACGACGGTGGCAAAATCCAGCCGAGAGTGTCCATATAATTGCTGAAAACACGTTCCCCCGAGATGGGCATTGCCAGCGGTAAGTGGTAGATATATATAGCTTGCCGTTTTAACATAGAAGGAGGTGCTTCTTTGTGGCTCGGTAGCTAACGCCGCGCATTCACATGCAAGAGGTCGGACATTCCATCCGTGTGCCAGTGCCTTTTTCTGGATTATTTTTCTTTCTCGCATTTTCACATATATTGATATATATAATATGGTGAATGATCGTCGTTGTCGACGCCGATGCCGACGACGGCGGCAGAATCTAGCTGAGAGTGTTCATATAATTGCTATCGCAGTAAAACAAAGATTGTTGGTGCGTTATATTCACATGAAACCGATACCAGATATGCAGCGCTAGCACTCCCATTAGAGGAATAAGATGCATTGTCATCGCTGTCACACGATGGCGTCTGCGCACATGTTGTGGTCAGTTTGCGTTGTTTTGCATAAAGCAGGGGTGGAAGTGCTGCGCCTAAATGGCAATTTGCGCGTGCAATGCCAAATTAGTGTAGTTTTATCATTGACCGAGCAACTTGCATAGGCTACACAAAGGACGCAACCACGTCTATATCAAATTAGTTTGGTCATGTCGTATTTTGGTTCATGCATGAATCTTGCTCCACAATAATAGAATGCATGAATCTTGTTAAGGTGGCATTTGTGTTCATACCTCATAATGCGACTACATATAACAGCCAAGCTGTTTCGTCTTTTCGGTCAGTTTCAACATAGTAATAGCAGTACAATGTGCTGTTACCCAAGAAACTTTTGGTCGCTTCATTTATTACTTTCTAACACTAAAGCACAAATCGTTAGTTTTAATTTTTGCTAGAGTAAGGAAAGACTCTTTTTCTGCTTCCAGGTAAAAGGAAGGTGCTCAATGTTAAGGACTAACTCTTATAATGTTGTATCTAGCCTAAATGAGAGTGTATATGAAAAATTTGACCAGACAAAGGAAGAAAGCTCTTGTAGATAAACTGGCTACTCATTAAGGCTTCTGTTTCTCACCAATACACACAGAACCGGAAGCCATCCAGCACCTGTGTTTGTAAAGACGGCAGTGGTGTTGCGAAAAAATTCGCTGCATCGTTGCCGAGCAACCGACAAGCACAGCACATGCTCTGCGATGGAGACCATCGAATCATGTAAACTGAGAAAGATAAAGTTCAGTTAAAGATCAGTTTCAAATATCAGTTCAGTTAAACATCAGTTTCACCGGCGAAACGATGATTGCTGTAGCAAGAATTTGTTATGTTCTAATTGACATCCTACACCTGCTGCTTTTTTTTTTATTTTCGTTACTTTATGCATGTTATGGTGCTTTGGGGAAAGTGTGCCTGCATGATAGGAACCATCTAGGTAATCTCAAAACTTCCGATTAAATTGCATGCACAACATGTACATTAGAGCTTGTTCTGGAACTTACGTGACCGCTAGCGACAATGCTGGAATCTTCAATGGTACTGGTATAAATACCGACGCACTTCGCTGCTTGGCAGATTATTCATCGGCCGACTCTCTCATTTGCTGCTATCAGTCTATAGCGCAAATTGCTTGTAGAGTGACGTTTCATTTTCTGGGCACAGGTTCACCCAAATAAAATGTTCTTTCATGAAAACAGCGGCTGCTGCCTTTGTCCACATCACAACCTCGTGACAGTACGGCTGACTGCAAACTTTTTTGTATCCGGCATAGTGACACTGTACAAAACGCTGTTTTAAAAAAATAAGTACTGCCACTCCATGGAGGAATGCTTTTATCGTGCAATCTTTTCTCATTGAGAGCGCACCACGTACAACGGCTTACGAGCCGCGCGCTGATGCTTACCGATAGCAGGCGCACCAGCTATCGCAACCAGGTCCTCAGAATCATAATTCACAGCTGTTTCTTGATGACTCCCCCCCTCCCCTTCCCACGTCTTTTCGCGCTCGTTCAAGGCGAGCGGCGTGTTTCTGCTTGAGCATTCGACGGCAAGTCTAACAGATGGCGGTACACTATCATGTGTGCCCTCGCAGTGACGGAGATCGGCCGCCTCATTTAAATAATATTTAGAAATACTGCCAATCTCAAACGAGATCAAGGCAGGAAAAGGGGGATTACAGCTGAATACATAAAAACAGAAAACAAATTACACTAAGTTGTCAAAAATGCGCTAAAGATGAATAAATGCAGACATAGGTTAACAACAAGTTATACAATATAAACATCACTTCACTTAAAAAAAGGAGTAACAGAAAAGAAGACAATACATAAAAATAGTTATGTTCACAAATAAATCAGGTAATAACTTAACATAACCGGGCTTTGTTAGTAAAGCTTTCTCGATTGTCGTGTTGAA